CATGGCTACTCCATCAATTTGACGGTAGAATACATTGTTGAATTTGAATTGTATGTTTTTTGTGCACAGAAACAGAAGCTGTTTGAATTCATGGATTGGTAAAGGTAAAAGTTCCGAGTATTCACCTATGATGTCTGCCGTTTCATCTAAGGGTATATTGGTGAAAAGCGATGAGACGTCAAATGAGACCATGAATTTATCAGATGCATTTATATTGTCAAGTTTTTGTACAAATTCAAAACTATCTTTCAGACTATAGGGTGCTAGCTTCTTGCGGATTGGTTCCAAGCACCTTGTCAGCCAGCGGGCGAGTTTGTGAAAGGGTGATTTTGTCATAGATATTATTGGTCTTATCGGGACGTCGGTTTTGTGTATTTTGGGTAGACCGTATAAGTACGGTAATTGTGATCCTTTTGGTTTGAGTTCGTTATATGTATGGTTATCTATTAGATTTTTCTTCAATAGTTCTCTCAACTTTTTTAAGAGGCGCTTCTCAGTTGCATCTGTTAAGTCTTTCTGGGTGTTGTCGGTTATAAATCTCGTAGGATCATTTAAAATGGACATAGCTTTGCTGGTGTATTCATCTCTGTTAAGAATGACTACACCGGAACCCTTGTCAGGACAAAGTAACGAAATTGTTTCGTCTTTCATAAGTTTTCTCCATCAATCCAGGAACATACATAACTTATCTAGAAATAAACTAAGTCGAATTGAAACAGAGGCACTCTCCCTTGGATTCAAATTTCATATTCCGAAAAAAAAGTAACAGAATAGACACTGAAACGCAGTTTGAGTGTTTATATCAACAACTGTCAGATCTTAAACCCATGAACGACGAAAAACAAAGCTGGTTAAAATCAAAATTAGTCGATATTACAAATCAATACGTTACGACACCAATTCCGCAATCAAAAGTATTGACTAAAGATCATCAACAAGCATTAAGAAAACTTATGAAAGACGAAACAATTTCGTTACTTTGTCCTGACAAGGGTTCCGGTGTAGTCATTCTTAACAGAGATGAATACACCAGCAAAGCTATGTCCATTTTAAATGATCCTACGAGATTTATAACCGACAACACCCAGAAAGACTTAACAGATGCAACTGAGAAGCGCCTCTTAAAAAAGTTGAGAGAACTATTGAAGAAAAATCTAATAGATAACCATACATATAACGAACTCAAACCAAAAGGATCACAATTACCGTACTTATACGGTCTACCCAAAATACACAAAACCGACGTCCCGATAAGACCAATAATATCTATGACAAAATCACCCTTTCACAAACTCGCCCGCTGGCTGACAAGGTGCTTGGAACCAATCCGCAAGAAGCTAGCACCCTATAGTCTGAAAGATAGTTTTGAATTTGTACAAAAACTTGACAATATAAATGCATCTGATAAATTCATGGTCTCATTTGACGTCTCATCGCTTTTCACCAATATACCCTTAGATGAAACGGCAGACATCATAGGTGAATACTCGGAACTTTTACCTTTACCAATCCATGAATTCAAACAGCTTCTGTTTCTGTGCACAAAAAACATACAATTCAAATTCAACAATGTATTCTACCGTCAAATTGATGGAGTAGCCATGGGTAGCCCTTTAGGTCCTATTCTGGCCGACATATTTATGGGGAACCTCGAACAGAAGCTTAAGCATGCTATCGATAGTACTACACTATACTGCAGATACATGGATGACACGTTTCTTGTTTGCGACAATCATAAACACTCCGTCAATCTGCTCAGTTTGTTTAATAAAGCACACAAGGATATAGAATTTACGATGGAACATGAAGACGAAGATAAATTCCATTTCCTAGATATTGGAATTAGACGAACACCAGCGGGTAAATTACAAAGATATGTTCATCACAAAAACAATTGGAGTGGACTGTATCTCAATTACTACAGTTTCTGTCCGATGAGTTACAAAAAGGGTATTGTACGAACCCTTTTCGACCGCGCACGCAAAATCTGCTCCAATGAGTGTCTTGAGGAAGAAATAGCTTTAATCACCAAATGCCTACGTGAAAATGCATATTCAGAGAAATTCATCCACAAATATGCAAACACCAACCGTCGAATAAAATATGATCGAGTTGAAAAGAAAACATGCTTCCTATACCTACGTTTCAAAGGAGACGAAATCGCTGGAATAATTAACCACCGACTTAATTCCGCGTTGAAAGCGACCTACCCAGCAGCTAAACTGACAACAGTGTGGGAAACAAACTGCTCACTCAAACAAACTGAAATCGACAAGTCCTCTTTTCTCAGTAGCTCCAACTGCATTTACCAATTTACATGTACGTGCCGAAGCACATACATTGGAAGAACCGAGAGAAGAGTGCATGTCAGCATTTCTGAGCATGTTCCCAAGAAACTGAGGCCGCAAGGCTCCAGGGCTTTCAACAGTGCGATAGCTCGGCATTTACTCGACACCGGGCACAGCATTGACATTTCTCATGCCTTTAAAATCATTAGTAAACAAAGAAGTACAACTGCTCTCCGGTTTGCTGAAGCGATCGCGATTAAAAAAAAAACTCAAACTGGATATATGTATTCAAAAAGAGACAGTGATAAACTTATTACTACCCTGGTAATCCTTTTTTTTGTTTCAGTTTTTTTTTCAGTTTTGTTGTTATTAGTTCAATTTTGGTTAATATTCAGTTTTTATTATATTCCCCTCCCCTTACCCGATTCTTAAACCACCCTTTCTCTCACACATTTCCGCTCATTTGTCTCTCTTAATTATATGAACTATCCAAATCTTATTCAACTATTACGTAACCCACCCTAATTGTTTTCAACTACCTCTATAAATTATTCAATTATTACGTAACCCACTCCAACTGTTTTCAACTACCTCTAAAATAATCAAATTTTTGATTTTATCTGTCTCTGAACTCCACTCAACTATTACGCCACCCTTTGTTCGAATACCTAATAACCTCTGACCTTTCCTTGCCCATATATATATATATATATATATATATATATATATGTATATAGTTATCATCGATGACTTTTGTTATTCCAATCCTTTACATTCACTTATGTCAGTCGTTCCATTCTATTTATTACCCCAATGCTAAAACTCTAATGCATATTTGGTTGTAAGCAGCTGATGAGAAACCACGAAATATAATAATAATAAATATATAATAATGCTTGAGATTGTTTTAATGGTTCATTTTACTATCATATGCCTTGAAATATGTCTTTAGGCAAGCTTCGTCGACATTTAACCAACAGTAGAGCTTCACTTTTCATAATAATTCATTTGCAAATAAAAAATTTGTCCCATACCCTTTCAGTTCACCACAGAACAAGTCTGCTTTACAGCTGTAGTATGATTCATTTTTTAAATTTTCTCATAGTGTTGTCTTGAGCATCTTAAATGGTGTTCATCATATTTTTCAGTGAAGGTCAGCTTTTTTATCTATCCCACCAAAATCTTATGGCAATTTTACAGAGTACTGGAATAAGCTGGGGAACGATTGGTTACCAAAAATCACTTAACATCTGCTTTGCCATGCTTCCAAACTCAGAACTACATGAGACATCATACTAAGTGTTAAATGAGTTACTTCAATGCTCATTATCGTCACTTGAGTTGTAGTTTGTTTACATAACTGGTATGACTGATTTAGCTTCTTAAGCTACAGTCATTTTTAGACTGGTAGGATCTTTGCTATCATGTCTCCTAACAATGCAATTAAAACGTCTGATCTCGACCGTTTATTCATATCTATACTGGATTTTCTTTCAGTTTGTTGGTCAAGTTGATAAGAAGAAAATTCTTATATTTTTGTACTCAAGTATGGCATCATGATCGGATTGTTTGAAACGGTGTTTCCGCTTGTTCTATCCCTTCTATTTGAACTGAAACATGTGTTTAGTCGTTATTAATCCATAACGTATTCCGCTTATTGATTTACGGTTGTGTGTCATATTTATTCTCTCATTTGAAAAGAGCAAGAACAACAATATGAGCGTGATGACATGGATTAATTTTATTTCACTTGATTATCTATTGTTTCTGATAAAACTATGAAGCTACTTAACCCCAAGTAAGCGATGCTAAATTCAGATTCGTAATTTAAGGGTGGTAGGTTAAATAGTTGAGTTTTCGGAGGTGGAATAAAATCACAAGCATTCAAGTTCTAAAATTGTGGAATATCACAACATATTCGGATGATCTCATCACATAAGAATAATGATATATAAAGGACATACCATCCTTTTTTCTACTGATACTTACGAAACAGCCCCCCGTGAGCAGTGTTGACTACATCCTGGTACCTTCTTAAACTGAGTACTTGTGCGTACGAACTGAGTATGTTTTGGCACAGGAGCGAGAAAATAAGAACAACAGAGAAAGGTTCATTTCACACCCTAACCCTAAATTAAAAATAATACCTCAGTACACTTATCTATTCAAAAGTTTACTTTGCACTGATTAATGAATAAAGTGAAATGGTTATAACTCATGCTAATACCGTGCTAAGTTAATTCAACGTTAAGTTAATTCCATAACCTGACAATTGATTTTCTCATAACGCTAATCTAAAATGGAGCTCATTTATTTAAAATAGTTTGACCATAACAAACCAAGCACTTACCGACTAACATAATCCCATAATATTCAGCTCTGGATATTTTTGTTTTACATAATATTTATTCTTATCTGCACAACGGGTATCATTAAAATAATGTTAACTCAGAATGATATTAGAAAATTATAGTTGCGAACAGCAAATTGGTGGTTTTACGTGAGGGACAAATATTTCCTCAAACAATTAATAGAAGATTTTCAGTATATTGTGTAGCTAAAGAAGTTAATAGGCTGTCGAAATAAAATTTTTATTCAGATACCGCAAACCATTTCAAAAGTAAAACAAATAAACTTTGTGATTTGCTTGAAAAATACTAAAGTGTTTTCGACCATTTCTTACAAATATTTATTTACCATCTGAATCTGCAGCCGGAACAATTCGATCCAGTTCAATATGATCAAAAACAATCAAGATATCTTTATATAAAAGAAAGCCGACCATATGACTTGTAAGTAGTTTGTTGCTTTCTTTTTTATAAAATGGCCAAACAGTCATCAAATTTATTGCGTTTATCCTACCTCAACGATACATAAACTATTTACGTAGGTGGCCATCCTTTACATTAGGCTAAGAGTTTTGAAAATGTTGTATAAGCTAGTAATTAAAGCTCTGCAAGTGAATTCTCTGGCTCAAACTGTGAACATGACTATTACACACATTGTTAATGGGTAAAATTAACCAATGAGTTTAAAATACCGGTAAGCTTAATTGCATCTCCATCCTTAAGAGTTGAAGTGGCCTAATAAAAAGGTAAAACGTTCTTATAAACACATTCAGATGAATAGATTAGCAAATTACAAGATGAATAAACCATATAGAAAGCAATACTATGAAATAAGTAATAATTAAATCGCTTATAAATATAACAATACATTTAACTTGCTTACATTTGTTAACCCTCATGGAGGAGCATAGGCCGCTCATTAGTATTCTCTATCTAACTCTGTCCTGGGCAATGCTTTCAGGCTCTTTCTAGACCCTATTTATCCTTTTTATATCTGCGTCCAATCCTCAAAACGGTATGTTATTGGGCCTTCCTCTTTTCCGTTTCCATTCATGATTCCAAGTTAGCGCTTGCCCTATGATGCAGTTTGATGATTTCTTTAATGTATATCCTATCCACTCCCGGACTCCTTCCTTAATTTCCTTTTCAGCTGGTATGTTGCCAGGTTCCGCTGCTTTCCCACTCTTGATTTGTCTAATGACCGGTCATCCTGATTTTTTTTGGACTGTTAATAGAGTAACATCTATAGGAAGGTCTGTAGATTTTGCTCCAATATCCAGTAGATTCAATGGAGCATGTCCATCCAAGAGTTCCTTAAAGTGTTACACCCATCTATTCCTTTGTCCTTGAATTTCAGTGATTGGCTTGCCTTCCTCGTTATTGACTGGTCTCTGTGGTTGACTATATTTCCCTGCTAGATTCTTCGTTATATAGTACAGTTGTCTGATATTTCCTTCTGCCACAGCTTCTTCCGCCGTCGCTGCTAGTTCTCCCATGTATTTCTGCTTGCCGTCTCTAACGCTCTTCTTCACTTGCTTGTTTTCTTCTGTGTTCAGCTTATGCCTTAACTTAATCTGCTCTTGTTCATCTGTTGTTAATTGCTATCTCCTTGTTCTTCCTTTCTTGAATCCTTTCCAGGGTATGGATAGTGATCCACTTCTTATGATGATGCTTAATGTCACCTCCTAGCACGTTGGGGTTAGTGTTTTTTATTCCTTTATAATTGCCCTCCAAAAGAGTTTCATCTCCTTTGAGTAGAACTTGTAGGGCTTGGAGCCTGTTGTTGAGAGGCATCATGAATTGGTTGAGTTTGTCAGTGTCTCGAAGAAAGACTGTATCTAACCTTCGTGATGATGTTTTGCCAGTTGTCCAGTGCTAATTTAGCCTCAGTTTCATCTTGACAAACACCAGGTGGTGGTTTTAAGCCATGTCAACTCCTTTCCTAGTTCTTACATCTTCTAATCACCTTATGAATTTTCCACTGATGTAAATATGATCAATCTGATTTTCTGTAGTGTGATCCACTGAGATCCATGTAGCTTTATGTATGTGTTTGCGGGAGAATATTGTGCCACCTATAACCATTTTGTTGAATGCGCATAAATTTGCAAATCATCATTCTCGTCCGTTTCTCCCAGTCTCCATTCCATGTCGTCCCATGATATTTTGATACCCGGTGTAGTCCATTCCGACTTTGGCATTTAGGTCCCCCATCAGGATGGTCAAGCCCTATCCTGATCACTTCTCAATGATCGATAGCAGCCTCCAGTAAAACTCATCTTTATCGTCGTCATTACTATCATTGGTGGATACATAACATTGGATAACGTTCATTGTAATTCCCTCCTTTGTTTTGAAGGGTGCTTTGATGATTCTGGGTCCTTGAGATTCTCATCCTATGAGTGCTTCACGTGCTTCTTTGGACAGCATTAGAGAAACCTACTGAATGTGTGGAGCAGTTTTCTACTCGTGACTGAAGTACAGCAGCATCTCTCCCGTACCTAGCCTTTGTTGTTCAGCTTGTGTCCAATGGGTTTCGCTGATTCCGAGTACTGCCAAGTTGTACCTCCTCATTTCCATCGCTATTTGACTGGTCCTCTCGGTATATCACATTGTACGAACATTCTATGTACCTATAAAAATTGTTGCTCTGGTTGTAAGAAGTATCATCGACCTTATGACTTCCGAAGAATCTCAGCTTTCACATGAGGCGTCATAATTCTTTCTTCAACTCCCACGTCAGAGTTTAAATGGTTTAAATTGTTTATTCTGATTAGCGACTTTTTAGCAAAGTTGTTTTCTACGGGATGTGGTTGCCAACTGGAAAGAAATATCCAGGACAGAATTAGATGGAGAATGTTGATGGGCAGCCTATGCTATTTCATGAAGAGTAACAGACGTAGGTAAGCTGTAACGAAAGAATGTATGGCTTTGCCGCTCTGCGATATGTAACGATAACAGACTAGACTATCTTCTGAGTCGGTACACTAGGTATGGACTGAATCACGTCATACATCGGTACAAGACTTTTTTCCTTAGATTTGGAGCCAAACAGCAAATCAGAAAATGGCGTATTTAGCACAATAGAAGTAGTCTACGCACAGTGAAACTCAAAGTAGAAATCGATAGCAGAAGGACATCCACAACATTAACAGTATTTCAATCTTATGCAAAGCTTAGTGTCTAATTTCATTTGTTCAATGACTAGTTACAGTCCACATCATACAGTATACCACAATTTCTCTCAGTACTGCAGTTAGAGATGTCTAGTGTTTAGTTTAGTTTCTATGTAGATATGCATTAACATATCTTAAGAACTGTCTTAAAGATATGTTAACGTATTTTTTGTTCCTGATTTTAATGAAATTTCTGCTTTCATAAAGTTCATCAGCATACTAAGGCAAAATCGTATTTATAAATTTCCATGAAATGAATTAAAACAAGACTAACCACTGATCAACTTATACAAATCATCTCATTGTATTAGAAAAACCTAACAACATATTGAATTATTCTAGGTTGACCAATTTGTTTTGAAGAGTTTAAATCATAATCTCTTAGTATTTTTTGTATAATGTCACTCTAATTAACTAAATACTTCTAATAAGTTTGATGATGGTTCTAATTCTCTATTCTGATTTTTGAGACCAAAACAGGAAGTTGTGATTTGTGAAATGAATCAAATCATACTCAATGTAATATCTCAGCTAAGATAGTATTATGGTGAAAGTTATTTTGAAATCGAAAGATTTGTTGAAAGATTGTTTGAATAAATAAAGATGTAAAATATTTTCTGTAAGAAACTAAATTGGTTAGACTTCTTCAAAGTTGAAAGTATGAGTCAATTGAAGCTAGACCACCATGGAAAACCTGGAAGCACTGGACAGCCGTTTCGTCCTATTATGGGACTGCTCAGCAGTGCGCATCTATGATCCCGCACTCGCGAGATTCGAACCCAGGACCTACCATTCTCGAGCCAGAGCCCTTAACCGGTTAGACTTCTTTATTCTGACTAACATCTCTTGAATAATACCATCAAGTAATGAGAATAAACTCTAAATGTCTTGTCATAATACTCTTTAATTTCATGCATTTGATATTTTACTCATGTTCATTTTCTTATATCATAGTTGTTCTTATAATTCACGAATTAATCAAATTCCTGGTTACAGGTGAGTAGAGTATAGGATAATTTTCAAATGAATTTGGTAGAGATTGTATATACTTCTGAGTAAACATTTTACTTCATAGAGTTGTGGTGTTGTTTATTTAAAAAATGCATCCCATTTATTGGTGTTTTGTATTTGTTTCATAATAAAACATACATAAATTACATGCAAATGAATAAAACAAATTTAAAGAAATGAATCCCTTTGATAAATTTCGATAATGTAATAAGAAGACGGAGATTATCTAAACTATGTGATATATTGAATTCACTTAGTATTGTTTGTTTGGATCTTCCCATCGATGTGTTTAGGACTGCAACTGGTCAGTCTCTAATTGGCATATGTGCATATATGTGATATATTAGTACAATACATTTCGAACAGTCTGATCACACACAATATACTTGTTAAGAACATTTATATATAAAAATAAAAGGTCAACTAGACTGGAAATGGGGGGTAGGCGGAGACAAGGATAATAATAATAATAATAATAATGTGTAAACAATTCGAAACCTTATCACTCTGGTTAATAAGCTACTATAACCAGGGTAGGTTTAAGATGAGAACAAACTGTTTATTGACGCCTTAACCAAACGAAAATTCAAACCCCTTCCAGTATCCTGAGGGAAGAAATGGCATGTGAATCAATCGTTGATCACCGGCTACCATGGGACTTCCTCTCCTCACGATGCCCCAGTGTCTTGTAGATCAGACCTTTGGGTCAAAGGCTCGGGGTGTGGCCCCCTAAGAAAACCACCTGCTTCAGTTTGGTCACCTGGGAAGTATCACAGCCCTCACACAAATCGAATGACATTTGTTCGGCGCATATGTATCTGGTGCTACCTTGTACCAATATTTATGTGTTTAAATAAATAAACTGATTAGCATATCAAGGTTAGGAAACTTGCATACATATGTAGGAGAAACATAGGATTCTTTCATGTATAATGATCTTTATTAGCCTACTTTTTCATTATCCTGTTCACCCATGACTTCATTATTTTAGTGGATCATTCTGTACAAGCGAAAAACGTGTTGATTTAGATAACCCGTACCATAAATGCAAGCCAATGAATTTAGTCCGTCAAGATATTCCTCATGAATATGTATTTGATCTGTAAGTAGCTTAGAAATCATTTTTTTCAAGCGCTGTTTAATTTAAAACTCTTTTTTACTGTTGCATAAATGTAATTTTGTTGTGAATTGATTATATGATCTGGGCTTATCAATCGGTACACATGAAAGTTTAATTATTGTATAACAACTCCGACACAGTAAATAACAGGCCGAAAGACTAAAATTGTAACTGATTTCCATTTATATGTCTTTCAACATCTTTAAAGATAGTTTTTCAAATAAAAACAAAGACTAACCACAAGGTCATTGTTGAAAAATAGACTGGGTGAAAATTACATGATTCTTGATATATCCTTGTCTTACCAGTCAGTTAAGCATAAATAACTGTAGTATTCGTTATATTCTAGGTGCTCTCGCCCATCACGTTTGTTGGAACTTGAATCAGACATTTATGAAAAAAATCTACGGTTATAAAACTAACCAATCTGGGTTACTTCTACCGGGTACTTTATGATGGTTTGGATTTTTAAATCAGGCTGTATGAGCCGTTACTTAGCAAATATACTTTATTCGCATGTAATTACATTTTGGTAACTAATGTTTTCTACAGATTGAATGGATAAATTAATGTAGATATAATTTATTTCATAACTAGACAACAGTTTGACTGAATCTTTGTTCATTTTGTAGTGACAACTACATTCACTTCCCATTTTGTTATTAACCGATGTTATTTATTCACAAAGATTTGTACTATTCGGATGCTGATGTTCAAGATTCCAGTTTGACCAACTTTTGTTGATATCCTGAGTAGATTTCCCTATGTAGTCTATTTGTCAGAAACTTGAGTATATTTGGATTGTGGCTAGCATTGAGATCTGGGACGCACATTTCGTTCTATTTGTTTCGTCAACTGATTGTACCTAAATATTCATGTTAATTGCCACGCTAAGATATTCAATCAGTAATTATTACCTCAAAAGCTAACACGCGATCCCATAAGTCACCAAATACAGATCGCTCCTAGTTTATACATGGTATTTTATAATGTGGATAGGTTTAATAACAATCATCCGGAATAGTAATTAACCAATTTGTGTCAACCGATGTGATCATGTCATCGGCAAAGGTATTAATTTAGAACGTTTGTTACTTGTTAATGATGATCACAAAGTCTGTTTGAATGTTCATTTTCTTGAAAATAGTGAACTATTAACATGGAAACTAACCTTCAAATAATTTTAAATAAAGTGAATTGACAGCTTTTTTGATGACTCTCTTTTTTTCCTTAATGCAAACAAAATATAAAGTCTAAGTTATAGAATACGTTATAGGTTACATATGTTATGATATGCAGAGTTTTCTGGATAACCGAAGGTACAAATCTAGGATAAATCAATAATCCGATGCATCGTAGTCTTCTAATAGTTTTCTGTTTTCTTGTGAAGAAATTATCTTTTAGGAATAAAGAATATTACTCTAGAAGTGGAAAATATTATTCATATTCAGGAGTTTATAACGTTGATAAATTTATGTAATCTTAAGTCAAAAATATAAAGTACTCCCTACTATTGAATATACTAGATTAGTAGTCATATTGTAACACGATCAATAAAGTTTGGCCATCGTTTAGAACTAGACAATAAGACATATGTTACCAAGACATCAATAAGAAAGACTCATTTGTTATACTATGACACCATAAAGTTAGGAAAACTTTAGTTTTCATCATCTACACATTTGAATGACCTCTTTCTTATATATTTTGTTTTATAGCAATTTAAATATGCCAGGGTATGGTGGTTATCAAAAGAAGGAAATGAGAAGCCATGATTCAACATCATCAGTATCGGTCTCTTGAAAAAAATATTTATCAAGAAATTTTGGTTCAGTAAATACGAATGTACAAGACTCATAATTTATAGAATATATATGTTGTAATAGTTTAAACAACTTATGATTATTATTTTATTTGACTACTATGCAATCTTCTGTATAGAAATCCCTAGTCTTTGTAACTACTACAAAAAGCACTTTTCAGGATAACGGGAAACTCAACAATATTACCTTATTAAATATGGTTCAAAAATAGTGTGAGCAGTAAGAAGATATTCTTTTCTTACCAATAAAAGGTTTTTATTTTTTTCTTAACATGCAGACTTATATTATGTAATCCTAAATTAAGCAATATGTGTAAAAATAGTTTGAAATGATTAATTTTGATTTATATTGAAAAAGTTTCCCAAGTTCTTAAAATACACCATGAGCAAAGTTTATTGACATGCGTGCAACAGTAACAAGTTGTGTATTTCTCACTATATTACGCACTTTGTCTATCATATAATCATGAAACTTTAAACTAGAACTTTCAATGATAGTGACATGCGAAAAATGTAGACTAGCATTTTTCACAAGAAATGTCTCACCTATCACTGTTTCCAAGTGCCTGTCATATGAAGGTGGGATATATGAGATGGCGATAGTTATCATACGGCATAGAACTCTGTCTTTAAGGTTGGGGTCATCTATCATATGTTCAAAGGATTGTACGAGTTATATTTTCGACCAATTGGTATGTTCATACTATTTTTCTTCGGTGACGAAGACATTTGAGATCAGTTAAAGCTAAGTACTGATAATGATCCATTTAGGTGCATGCAAATCAAAAACACTTGATCTTCAGATTTATGATTTTTCAAGTGACAGTATGAACCAAGGTTTGTATGTGAGTTTTGCAAATACCGTGAAGATGCCACAGGTATTGATAGTTTGACAACGCTTTAACCAATAACACCTTTTATAATTGAATCGCGCCCACCCAGTGAAATCAAAAGTCAGAAGCGAGAAGGTTGGAAGATATATTTAATAGTTTATCAATATATCGAGAAGTAACTTATCTAAACTGGCTAGTGATCGCAGGCGACGTTGAGCACGGCATTCTCACTACTGACCTGATGCGGATGCATGACCAAGTGCCTTCAGCTAGGTAAGTTCATTAATACTAATGTGGTTAGCATCCACTGTCTAACACTTACAGAGCCATTGACTTTGGGGGATTTATTTACAGCTAAAGATCACTCCCCCCTAGTGGGATAGTGATGACTCCAGGAAGTGGCTAGGCAGAAGTTTAAGCTCAGAGATTTTGTTGTTGGTAAATACTTTTCTGATAGCTTGCTATGTTTAGCAGAGTCTGATCGTCTTTCCTCACTATGAGGGACCATGTAGTACAACATAATAATAAAGAAGCAAGGTACAATCAAAATTTCGGTTCCTCGTAAATTTCATTGTTCTGTTTATCGTATTTTCCAGCCGTCCTGGAAAATAAAAAAGGATATGTAAGTGCATGTCGAATTACACTCGTACACGAGTAAAAACACAAAAAGTGGAAAATAAACTCATGCACATGTGATAGCGTAAAAACGGTTATTAGTGGATGCTTTTTTTGGGGGAAAATTGTTTTTCAACAAACATATATTAGCAGGCATACTAGCAAAATATTTCGCTGTTTTTTTGGAATAAATATATCAATATAAGCGTATGAAAATTGTTTTTTAAGCATTTCTGGCATTTCTGAATGTTTACAGTAATGCCACGCTTTTTAAGTAGTTCGAAGACAAAGCCTAGATGCTAGAGATTAGATTCTCTATCAAGCATTCATCAACATACCCATGTACGAAGTTGAAACCTCGAAAAATGTCATCCATGAGCCTTTGGAATGTTTGGGCAGCATTTCTTAAAATTCGTAAAGACCAAAGGGAGTGATGATAGTGGTTTTCGGAATATCGTCCGTAGCCATAGGGATTCGGTTATAGACTTTAACCAAGTCGATTTTCGAAAAAACAGTTGCGCCTTTCAAGATAGCTGTTAAATCGTGAATGTGAGGCAACGGGCAATGATCAGGAATTGTTCTCACATTCATATGCCTATAGTCACATGCTGGACTCCAGTTGTTGCTGTTCCTTTTAGTGACCATGTGCAAGGGAGATGCCAATGGGCTGTTTGGCGGTCGAATGATTCCTAACTCTATCATGTGGTGGAATTCGTTTTCGGCCAACCTCAGCTTATTGAGAGCCAGTCGGCGCGCTGTCGAGAATACAGGTGGTCCTGTAGTCATGATGTGGTGTGTAAAATTGCTAGTTACACTCGTCAATTTCGACTGCGGTTGGTATATCCTAGAGTGCTTAGCGAGTTACGGTTGATAGAATGAATCTATCGTGTATCTCATTGTGACTGCAGGTAATTTGCAACCGTTGAAAGAAGTTACGCAAACAGATAAATGAGTGTTTCCGTCTACTAAACTCCGTTTGTGCTTATCGATGAGTAAATTTTGTTGCTATAGCAGGTATGTACCACTGATTGGCTTAGAAAAATCTGCAACAACGAAGATCCATTGAGTGGGTTTGCGTAAATCCGAGTTAAGACCTTCTACCATATAGGCTTTCCGCTTGCCACCCGTAAGTTTAAAACAGATTCGTGAAGCCTGTCGTTACAGTTTGCAGGAAGAACGCTAACTTCTGCGCCAATGTCGATGAGGTGGCGAACTTTTGTGACCACATCTGTGACTTATAACAGACGGTTGTGTTCGCCAGCTACGGTTGCCGTTGACGCGTGCTGGCTGGGAAGTTTCCCGAATTATTTTTCGTGCCATTCGATTGTGAGTTCGGGTAACTGCAGGGTCTCCTGCAATTTTCGGAAGACTGGTTATGATACCAGCAGCAGTCGGGGTTACCTGTATCTCGTGATCGAGAGACAGACCGATTACGTGAAGTGCTTCTTCGCCGGGTATGTGACCGTTTATTATCATTACGAAATCTAAGATAGCGTGTAGATGTATGACATCGTTCTGTTACGTAGTTTTGGGTCGTTTAAGGTTTTTGTTTGACTGAAGAAACCGCGGCATTAGAAGGCTTCATGATTTCCAAGATGCGATCTGCAGATGCATCCAGCTCGTCTACGGCGTTATTTTGAAACGAAACCAGCACAACTCGCACTTGTCGAGGAACTTTAGATAAGAAAAGTTGTCTAAACAGGCCATCATCGAAAGTATTTGGCCAATTACCTCTCTCATTCTTAGCAACATGTCTGTCGCAGAAAAACTTCAGTTGTTATATTTATATTATATTTAGATAACTTATTAGATGAATAAACGCGGTAGTAGTTAATACAAAACACATTTATCGTCAATGTATAAATTGTTTCTTCGCATAAACTTCCATATTACGAAATTCGTCAAGTTGTTCACCTGCATAGACTTGATGATTACAAAGATTTGAGCCTTTAAATTAGTTGACAGAAGTCATAAGTTGTATAACAGAAAATGTATGGATAGCTTGCTCAATGCAATTCTGAAAAACAACAAATCAATCGTGAAAGAAAAGACTAAACCTCGTTATCAGTATCAAATTCAATAAGTAAATGAAATAGCAATTGATAGGATGTACCTGTAAGTGTTTTACTTACTGTAAACAGTGCTCTTCATTTTATAACCTTCCTACAATTTCATCTAGATATTCGGTATTAACAAACAAACTTCGGGCACCAAATGAAGGGACTCACAAACTTTAATTAGTTATATGAAATTTGAGAAAAATCCAACTACAACGTTCATAATACTGTTTGTAGTTCACTCATTACGTACAATAATGAAATAACTGGAAAGCACTATTTGGCGATTACTCGTCAACATGGTTTAACACTTTGTTTATGATTTGGTCAGTGATTTCTGATTCCGTTAACAGAAATTTATATTTTAAACCTATACGAGACATCGTAAAATAGTATTATCTACGACATGTCTTAGTTACGATGCTCATAGCAAACACGCATCGCTTTACTTAAGAAAAGTATTTGGCAAACTTATGTGGCACTAAAAGTAATGTTCTACACAATTCCTGTATAAATTCAGAACGTCAATTGTTACTAACATAATTTTTCTTTCTGACATTACGTAATAATATATCAGTCCAGTTGACAATGATGATACTTATCATGGATTAAACTGTTTACGGCTGTATAATAATAGTACATTGTTTACTTTTCTACTACATACACACCGACGTAATTAAACGCCCACTTTTAAAACGCTTCTGTATTTACCCCAACCGCCTGTGTTCGCCTTCATTCCCACAACACAGCACACGAATAATGTAATGTACGTAACATATGGTATGAGTTCCAAATTTTTATTGAAAACAAAAAGCTTATTATTGTACAACGGTATGAGCAGTTGGCAGATGGCAGAGCATCAATGTTCCTGATGTAATTGCAATTGTCACGGACCAGGCATTTCACGTATTGTTTCTTTCCATCAGGCCTGTTGGGCTATGGAGACTCAAATAATTATTGTGAATTCTAAAATGTAATGAAGAAAAACGTTACTATATCTAGGAAACTTGTTTTGCACAACGAGGTACTTGAAGCTGAACTTACGGTTATAATCTTGAACACGGAAGACTCTACCTGTAGATAACGGGAAAACAATAATCAGTTTAAAGTTGTACGTACGTGTTCTTTCTTCCATCGATGACGCTTCTGTACTTTGTCTCTCATGTCGTGAAAATAACTTTGCGTAGCCATGTCATATAGTTTCGCAAGGTCTTTCTCGTTGACAGATTATGACAGGAATCGATTAGTAAGTGTACCTGAAGTTTAAAAACCTTATTTATCCTACTTCGTACGCAGCCATAAAACCGGCACTTCTGAATCGCTCGTTTTGATGAAGTACCAAGTTGCGTGAAATTAATGGCAACTTCAGGTCTCATGATGTAGAACAGAAGATATCGCATGGATGTTTTAGGATCATCATCCATTAAACTCGTCAACATGGCGATCTGTGATAGGAATGAAGGATAAAAATCCTGT